CGTAATGGCTGCGCCAAGATGTGAGGGCATCTTGGCGCAGCCATTACGACGCAGGTCAACCCTTGGGGCTCGTGACCGTAAGGGCCTGCAGCAGTTGCGACAGCGAGCGACCGTAACTTCTAAAACAGCACCTACATATTACAGATGTTTTGATCTAAGACAGTTCTACACAAACTGCTCTACAGCTTCAGCCGCTTAACCCCTATTGAGAGACTAGAGCGCGGAGCTTTCGGAAGAACTAACCTTCAGACATTATTTAGTGTAGCACTGCACCACAGTGCAGGAAACGTCCCCCGCATTAAGGAACTAAGGCCTGAAAATAGCATCTCCTAGGCGGTTTAAACATTCTGTGGCGGTGGAGCAATCATGACTCCAACCCTGAAACGTCCTGATAGCCTTTGCCGCTCTCGGTCCTGGGCCATCCGCACTTTACATAAAACGTTGACTCTCAAACGGCGGTTCTTGAAGTGCTTCGTCGTAGCTTCCGAGCCCCGCTCTCCCGTGTGGCGGCTAGCCTGTAGAAGGCAGCTTACGGACCAGGCACACCACTGCGTTGCGCTGAGCAGCATGTCAATCACACAGCTACAAAGGACGTTACACCGCTCCTGTACATTCGCCAGAAGCGTTTGGATTCATTCTCCATCAACTTCTGCGTCCGACACCTATGAAGTCTCGACTGCTTCCAGACGACTACGCTCTCCTGCGTGATTTTTTGCAGCCCATCAAGAATTTCTGCACGCTAAAACGGGCAAAAATGAACCCGCCAGTATGAATTTCGGCAAATGGGCTGCGGCATGTAGGACAGACTGGCCATCAACCCGTGAACACCCGCACATTTTTTATCTGTTCCTACAGCCTTTGCTGTGCCGCTTCAACGCTTCCCACGGGGTTTCGTTACACAATGCCCACTGCGATCTCTGTGCACATTAAGGCCTTCAGCTAAATTTTCAGAAAGCCCTCTTGCCCTTACCTACCTTCCTCACCGCTCAGTTCTCCCTGAATGGTCCACTGTGCCTGCTGGCACATTTACAGTAGTGGAATTGCCGGCGGCCTCAATGCAATAATCTAACGTGCACCCAGTATGAAAAGGGAAGGAAAGCCATTTCTCTTCGTATCCACTCCCAAAAAGCTATTGCCGCAAGCTACTTGTTCTGCATGTTCTGCTTTCACGACTCACCCACTTGTAACCACGCCACTCCGGTCCTTCTCTAACAGAGGCCAAGGAGACTGTGCCAGCACTGTCCCAAAAGACTGAAGCAATGCCCACACTGGCCCTCTCCGGTGCTTCTCTCACAGAGGCCAAGGAGACTACGCTAGCACTGTCCCAAAAGACTGAAGCGTGCTCAGACTGGCCCTCTTCCTCGCGCCCGACGGAAAGTCCCTTCAGCTTGATAAATGCTGTCCACATACTGTCCCTCTACTGCTTGCCCTACTCGCCGCATTCACAGCGGAGTTTGCCAAGAGGACTAGATGGCGCTGCCGCTATTCCAACTCTTCTGAGCCAGTTGCCTCTTGTAGTTGACACCGCATTGTCTTCGAACCTATTTGCTGAACGCATCAGATTTTGGCTTCCCTACCTGTTACTTCTTGAATTCCCCTGGTACATCCTTATGGTGGCCCTGCGCGACTTGCTGTTATTCTGCATTCTTTGGCGCCAGCGGAGTCTCATCAAAAAATAAAAGGGATGATTAGAAACGACTCGCAGCAAGTGCCTTTCCTTCGTACTCATATTGATTGGAGGGGTGCGTCGCCAGTAACACACGCAGCACAAATTCTGTCGCTAGTTTTGCACCAAAAAGCTAGAAGGAGGCAGCCTAAGCAGAAGCTTGGCCTAAATGAGCTCGCTGAAGTACGTTTAAGAGCCCTACACATGAGCGGAGCCATTCAGAAACGCAAGCCTCCACGTGAGGGTTGGCTAGTTTGCATGATGATACTCTCCTCTCTTAAGGAAAGCAACATGGAGCAGAGGTCATGTGATTTAAACGCAGCGGTGGCTGAACAATGAGGAAGCATCACTGTAGTTGCGTCCGGCCTCCCAATGGCACAAGTTCAGATTTCCAGCTTCGAAGCGACACTCCAGCCGGAATCCATGTTGAATTCTTACTCAGTTTATCTTCGAAATAGAGCTAACTACGAGTTGTATCTTCTATCAGTTCTTCTCAAGAGCCCTCAAATGTCTATCGGGTGATTTCCAGGAGATTGGAATCGCCAGCAGCGAGTGAGAGCCTACAGTTTGCTCGTTTCTATTCCCTGGTAGATTTGTTTTGCCTTAGCTTTGCAATACCTCCAAATACTTTCTCAACGTTTTGGCTATGCAGACCAGACTTTCTACGTGGGGGGCCTTTGTTGGGTCATATTAAAAGCAGAACTGGGTTTTTCCACGTTTGTCTCAGGAGGCAGTGGAGAGTCACTTCGCAATGGAAAAAGCCACGGGACCTCGAAGGAGGCTATCAGAAAGATTCTATTTCTTAAAATCAGTCTACTTCTTTCAAATTACAGTAGATTGAAGGGCCTGGGTAAAATGACGTATTCCCGAAATACCACGAAGTACCTCCAAGCCAATAAATTGAGGTTGGCAGCGCCGAGGCCCGTAGGGCACATGGGTTTGCAGCACCACCACCACCATCACCAGCGCCACCAGAAAGAGAGTGTGGATCATATAAACGAATATCGGAAGGTTCCCACCTCAGCCTAGACTTTCACCCAGGAGACGCGGGCTGCTGGTATGGCTCTGTGCTGAGTGTACCCAGCTCAGAATGCCAATACAGCGTCTCCAAACAGTAAGGCACACACACCCTGACCCATTCCGTAGTAGCGGCAACAGCGCTGCTCAAGAACAAGGCGACTGGAAGCAGCAGCAAGAACAACAAGACCAGTCGCAACAATTGGCGTGGCGCACTGAACATTACACAACTCCTGGGCAGCAACTTGCACATAAAACGACCTGTGAGCAGTTTCAAAGACAGGGCCAGCAGAATGGCGCGCAAGAGCAGGAGCAACGGGAGCAGGGGCAGGCAGAACAGCAGCAACGGAAGCACGAACAAGTGCAGCAGCTTGAAGAGCTGGAGCAGGAGCAGAAGCAACAGCGGTCAGAGCAAGCCGAAATGCTTCCACAGCAAAAGAAACAACAAAAGCAGCAAAAGCAGCGCAACTCATGTGAATGCAAGGCCCCAGGGAAGTAGCACTCTGAAGAATCCTTTGAGGAGCAGCAGCAGGCGCTTTTGCGCCAGCAGCACGGCGCACAACTGCTGCAGCAAAACCCCCAAAAGCATAACCAAGACACTCTGGAGCAGGAGTGAGGCACACCTCACCATCAGCAAGACATGTTGCTGCAGCATCAACAATTAGAACAGCCTCTTCAAGGCACGGAGCAGCCAAAGCATATCGTTCCCGGAGACAGCCAGCAGCAGGATGGAAGAGTGGAGCTGGAAGCAGAGCAGAGAAAGCCATGGCAGTGGGAAGCGGGGTTAGAGCAAGAGCTGCAGAAGCAGAAACGGGGAGAGGTGGAGATATTCCTCCACACAAAAGGGCGCGAGCCAAAGCAGTGTGTGCAACAGCACAACGCAACAAAGCCGACTGTGCAGCCTGGAGGGGAGTTTTTTGATGCTTGCCCGTCTCCACGGTCTCACTCCACACTCAGTGGAGAAACTTCTCCTTCTAAGATGGGCCACAGCGACGAGGTACCACCTTGGTGCAGCACAGGCCTTGGCCCTCTGCCCCTAACCGCTTCCTGTACACAGCACCATCATGGGGGCCCTGTTGATCCTCAACAAGCAAAACGAAACACTCACGGAACATGTACATAGACGTCTTATGTGCGCCTTTAACCTCACGCGCACAACCTGCATCTGCGTCCGCTGGACCTTGACCGAGTGCGCCGCGCCAAAAGCATCGCAAACGGCAACGGTTGCAACAAGGAAAGGAACAGCAACAGCAGCCGTTGCACCACCTTCCATTACCAGAGTTGCTGTGCAACCAAACAGCATAAACACTTCAGTTGTTCCCTCCAATATCCTCCAGCAGGCACACGGACAGGACATCAAGGACCTGTGAACATAGCGGTAGGGCGGGTGATCTTCCAAGCTGTTGCCCCTGCAGAGCAGCATGCTGCTGCTATTTGGCCTTCTGCTGCTGATCCAAGAGTGCCGCCTGAGTTCCAGCAAACTTCTGCGTTCGCTTTGCGTGGAAAAGCAGCTAAACAGGGACCTCTCGTAGGCGTAGAACAGCGACAAGCGTCCTTTCTGAATGCCCTCAACTTGGCTTCTTTGCTGCGGCCTGCTGCAGAGCCGCGGAGACTCGGAACTCCTTTCGTGAAATTCCCAATAGCGACTGTAAGGGATGGAGCAGCAGTAGTAGGAGCTCCTCATGCAGGAAACGCATTAATTGGAGAGATACGTGGTCCTAGCTCTACAGACACACAAGCAACAATGGAGATGGAGTGTACGGGGCAGCTGCAGTGGCAGCAAATCCAAAGCATCTACAGTTGGTAGCAACGGCATCAGGCCAGACGACCATGTCCTGCAAAGCATGTGCTACAATAGCCCAAGGAAAATCAGCAGCAAAAGCGGCGATAGCAACAGCGGCTACTAGAACGACGAAACCAAGAACAGAAGCGGTATCGCCCTCAACGGTGCCCAAAATGATAGCAAGAGCGGAAGCAAGCAAAACTGTTCCCACAGTAGCTCTGAAGAAAGCCAACGGAATGGCACCAGCGGCTTCTCATTCTCTAGAAAAGAGGATGAGAAGTCTTCAAAATCAGCAGAGAAATGGCTGTGTGGAGCAGGAGCAAGGGCTGCTGGTGCAGATGCTGGTACCACCGCTTGTGCAGCTGCTGCTAATGCAGCTGCACAAGCGGTGGTACCAGCGTCTGCAGCAGCAGCCCTTGCTCCTGCTCCACACAGCTATTTCTCTGCTGATTTTGAAGACTTCTCATCCTCTTTTCTAGAAAATGAGAAGCCGCTGGTGCCATTCCGTTGGCTTTCTTCAGAGCTACTGTGGGAACAGTTTTGCTTGCTTCCGCTCTTGCTATCATTTTGGGCACCGTTGAGGGCGATACCGCTTCTGTTCTTGGTTTCGTCGTTCTAGTAGCCGCTGTTGCTATCGCCGCTTTTGCTGCTGATTTTCCTTGGGCTATTGTAGCACATGCTTTGCAGGACATGGTCGTCTGGCCTGATGCCGT